AGAAGTAATTTATTTCAAATAAATGTGTCTAGAAATGAATTCAAGGCAGCAGCGACCTTTAACTTTATTTTCGAGTCTTTCCAGATTGAACAAGAGGATACAAGGCTTTTTATATGATTTGTCTCCATGTGCATAAGAACAGAAGACGATATATAATGACTCAAGCTTAATATATAGAAACTGTAACAATGTGGGTAAAACAAATATGTTCATCCATCCATCCATTTTCTTCCGCTTCATCCGTTTCCGGGTCGCGGGGGCAGCAGTCTAAGCAGAGACGCCCAGACTTCCCTATCCACACACACCTCCTCCAGCTCGTCCGGGGGGACCCCAAGGCGTTCCCAGGCCAGCTGAGAGACATAGTCTCTCCAGCGTGTCCTGGGTCTTCCCCGGGGCCTCCTCCCGGTGGGACGTGCCCGGAACACCTCCCCAGGAAGGCGTCCAGGAGGCATCCTGAACAGATGCTCGAGCCACCTCAACTGGTTCCTCTCGACGTGGAGAAGCAGCGGCTCTACTCCGAGCTCCTCCCGTGTGGCCGAGCTCCTCACCCTATCTCTAAGGGAGCGCCCAGCCACTCTGCGGAGGAAGCTCATTTCGACCGCTTGAAATCGAGAGCTTCGCCTTTCGGCTCAGCTCCCTCTTTACCACAACGGTCCGATACAGCGACCGCATCACTGCGCACGCTGCACCGATCCGCCTGTCAATCTCACGCTCCATTCTCCCCTCACTCGTGAACAAGACCCCGAGATACTTGAACTCCTCCACTTGAGGAAGGACCTCTCCACCCACCTGCAGAGGGCAAGGCACCTTTTTCCGGTCGAGCACCATGGCCTCGGATTTGGAGGTGCTGATTCTCATCCCAGCCGCTTCGCACTCGGCTGCAAACCGTCCCAGTGCATGCTGCAGGTCCTGGTTTGTTGGAGCCAGCAGGACGACATCATCCGCAAAAAGTAGAGATGAAATCCTGTGGTTCCCGAACCGGACCCCCTCCGGCCCCTGGCTGCGCCTAGAAATTCTGTCCATAAATACAGTGAACAGAACCGGTGACAAAGGGCAGCCTTGGCGGAGGCCAACATGCACCGGGAACAGGTCTGACTTACTGCCGGCAATGCGAACACAGCTCTGACTCCGGTCATACAGGGACCGGACGGCCCTCAGCAGAGGACCCCGGACCCCGTACTCCCGGAGGACCCCCCAAATGACACCCCGGGGAACACGGTCGAACGCCTTCTCCAAATCCACAAAGCACATGTGGACAGGTTGGGCGAACTCCCATGAACCCTCGAGTATCCGATGGAGAGTATAGAGCTGGTCCAGTGTTCCGCGACCGGGACGAAAACCACACTGCTCCTCCTGAATCCGAGATTCGACCATCGGACGTAGCCTCCTCTCCAGTACCTTGGAGTAGACCTTACCGGGGAGGCTGAGGAGTGTGATCCCACGATAATTGGAACACACCCTCCGGTCCCCCTTCTTGTAGAGAGGGACCACTACAAGTCCCAATGGAGTCTGCCACTCCATTGGCACCGCCCCCGATCGCCACGCGATGCTGCAGAGACGTGTCAGCCAAGACAGTCCTACAACATCCAGAGACTTTAGATAGTCAGGACGGATCTCATCCACTCCCGGCGCCTTGCCACCATGGAGGCTGCCAACCACCTTGGTGACCTCGGCCAGGGAGATGTAAGTATCCGCCCCAACATCCTCAGCCTCTGCCTCCTGGACGGAGGACGTGACGGGGGGATTGAGGAGAACCTCAAAGTATTCCTTCCACCGCCCGACAATATCCCCAGTCGAGGTCAGCAGCCCTCCACTCGCACCATACACGGTGTTGGCAAAGAACTGCTTCCCCCTCCTGAGGCGCCGGATGGTTTGCCAGAACCTCTTCGAGGCCGACCGATAGTCATGCTCCATGGACTCTCCGAACTCCTCCCAGTCCCGGGTTTTTGCCTCTGCAACAGCCCGGGCCGCGGCACGTTTGGCCTGCCGGTACTGGACAGCTGCCTCAGGAGTCCCACGAACCAAATATGTTCAGTTCTTCAAATAATCATGTTTAGCAGTAATACGGATACAACAAGAGTCCAGAGTAGGTCAGATTCCACAGATGTACAAAAGACAGCAAACAATAAACAGGATTAAAAAAACATATCTATTATATATATATATATATATATATATATATATATATATATATATATATATATATAAATATATATATATAAACCTCAACACATAGTTTGAAAAGGGGTTGAACAAAGCAGACACTTATTTCCAAACCATCTCACCCTCAACACAATACACACGCACTGAAAGGATGTCCGGTTGTGGTCACAATTTAAACCCTGGTACCTGACCTGAACATCTCAACAGCATGTTTTGGAGATTCGAGGCCAGAGCACAAAATGGCTGTGCTTTTTGCTAGATGGCGAAAATGACACCAGAAAGACAACAAGAGGGGAAAGGAATAACAAACATTCATCAAAACTACAGGCAGGATGGGGCTATTCATTCTGGAGGCAGGGAAGAGAAATATCATCAATATTTGACATTGTTTTATGGAGAAGCCACTTGATTTCGTCCTGGGTCCTGTGCGGGTGACCAGTGGCGATCAATTACCATTGACAAGATTTGTGTACATGGAAGGCCTTCGCACTTTGTTAGCCCGGCTCCCTGCTTCCTCCTCCGAGAGCTCAAAGCCGCTTCTTAGTGAGTGCTACATCTTCCTCCTGACTGGCTGGCATCATTACTCAGAGGCCGTCAGCATAAAGAGACTATTGGACTAATTATGTGGCGTGCTTGTGTAATTCAAAGTGGGGACAAGCCTGCAGTGTTGAGCCGGCACCCCGGTGTCACATCTAATGATATAAAACTGCTGCAGATTGGCAAACACATGGAAACACTTTGTAATGATGAGTCAGTGGAGTCCACCGCCGTTTATTCTGTCTGAATCAATGACCATTCTTATGAGGAGATGGCACGTGCATAAACTGCCTTTTTTTAGTAGGGATGTTAGTATTAGATAGCAATATGGCCTAGGTGCAGGACAAGCACAAGGACTCTGATGGACTCCATGTTTTGACTATGATGTGCACCCTCTCTGTGTGACACGTACGTCTTTCGATGTGTGACGTGACAATGACTATATAAACTGTGTACTGCCTTTATTTTGTCGGAGAGAAAGAAACAATGGAAACCACTGGAACTTGAGAGAAACTTAATTAAATAAACTTCCAGAGTTTGGTGCACCATGATCCGTCTCTGTCTGGTTCATTCCTGACAGGGAGTAATGGAAGTTTGTTTTCCAACTCTTGATAGTTTATATTAGTGTTTTGTCAGGTCCAAAACTGAACTTTTTAATATACACCTTTGCCAAATCGCAGCTAAATGGTAAAAGCTGTGGGATGCCACAAAGAGGTATATTTCAGTTCCAAGCTTTAAGTTGACGCATTGCTTAAAAAGGTGATCTACCATATCGTTGAGGAAACCATTACAGGGTACAGTACTGCATTTGCTGATTTGATCTTGCAAGGCCAGCTTCTTTATTAATCTACAAAACTTTGGAAAACTCAAACAGAATGAGATCATGGACTTTTTCAAATCTTTTATGTTATGACAGGTTCAATATAATTATTATGTCATGCAAGTGAAGCTGTGTACATTTCAGTTGGATTTCAGTGTTGCATTGTTTTTGGTACAAGAAGGTCCTGGGTTTGATTCCACCTTCTGTCCTTTCTGTGTCGATGTGCTATATAAATTAAGATTACTACTTACTAACATGGCAGTTGATAAGCAGCTCTGAAACCGATGTGAAATATGGACTGGTTTGCAGCTTAGTCATCATTATGCTCTAATTATTAATGAATGCTTTAGTTGGGTATATGTACATAAGGAACTTTGTCCTCTGCATTTGACCCATCCTGATGCCACTAGGGTAGGCATGTCAAACTCAGGCCCGCAAGAACATTTTTAGTGGCCCTTAAAATGATTTGTATCATCATAAACTTGCAGAATTTATGTTATGCATCATCTATTTTCACAGGAAAACCACACTTTGCAGTGGCTCAGTTGGTAGAGCATTGGCCTTTGAGCCTGAAGGTCGTGGGTTCGTGCCCACCATGAGACCTTCTCCACCGACACTCACTGATGACTGCTATCATTGTGTCCTTGGGCAAGACACTTAACCCCACTTTGCCTGAATCCCCCGCTGAAAGATCAAGGCTATGCCATAGAGTGGCCATCCTCCTGTGGACTCAAAACCTGCAGGAGGATCAGTGAGGGGCTGGTGCTGTGTGTACTGGGTGCAGCTCTGACTGCCACCCCCTCGACCCAGTAATGGATTAAGGGGTAGAAAATGGATGGATGGATGTTAACCCAACACATCATTCAGAGTTGATTTCAGAAAAATCAACCAGAAAATAAAAGTGTTACTCATATCACATAAAGCTGAGGTCAAAATACCTTCATAATATAAATCACATAGCATAAGAAAATAAATTCCCATTTATTCTTTCGGGACCCGGCCAGTTCCTATTTTTTTCATTCGGGCCTCTGACCAGAATAGGTTTGACGCCTCTGTACTAAGGTCTCTGTGGTAGCTAATGTACAGTCCCTGGGAACCCATCCCCAGATGTTGATTCTCGGCTTGGTCAAGACTATAGGAGGACCTGGAGGAAACCTACGCAGACACAGGGAGAACATGCAAACTCCACTCAGAAAGGCCTTGTTCCAATATCAAACCCAGGACCTTCCTGCTGAGAAGCGGGAGTGCCACCGTGTAATTATGTATTTTCTTTGACACAACTACAAGATATGTATTTCTCATATTTACTTTATTTTTCTTTCCACAATCACTCATTGCTTTTCATGGGACATTTTCAGTCGACAGTTGATTTTTTGTTTACTCCAATGCTTCACTGTATTTACCGCACGTTGTCATGTAATGCACGAGATACCTCAGCAGCTGGCGGCACATACGTCACTCATAATGGCTGCATGAACGGTCACTTCAGACTGTTGTGACTAGGGTCCTGTAAAGTGCCCCCTGATATACCCCCACCAACCCCCCCGAGCACCGCAGAGCACAAGCAGGTGATTTGTAGCCGGGGGAGACTAATGAAGTGGTCGCTCTGCCACCCTGCTTCTTTTGCAAGATCAATTCAGCGTCAGGGCCCGTACGGCGACCGCGTGTTATGAATGATGGAAACCTCCTCAGGCCATCCATATACCTGAATCCCCGACATCAGTGCGCACCAGCCGCTGTACCCCCGCCATCGCCACCCCACCCTGCACCCAGCACCGGGAGGCAGGGACTCGGCAATCCTTCTTGTTTGGAGAAAACGCATTACCATCGGCCCTTCCTTGGCTGTCCTGCCCATGCCTGGCACACACACACACATACACACACACACACACAGACACACACAGACACACACATGCACACACCCACCGTCGATGTGCAAATCAATGGCTGGAAGAAGTGCTGTTATCAAGGAACACATATAGAATTGTGTGTGGTGTGTAGGATATTAAAGTAAAAGCATAAGAATATTGATTGCCTTTTTTGTTGTTGTGGTCAGTCACGTACCTGGCTCGCATTTTCCACTTTCATAAATGCATATTGTTAAAAGACCACAGATTAACATTAAGCAGTTGTTATATAGGTTCCAATCCAGGAAGTTCTTCTGGATGCCGTGTGTCCAATGGTGTCGCAAAACTTTGTGGAAGCCTTTTTCGAAAATGTGTGTTGTTTTTTATTACTTAACGCCGAAGATCCCAGACATATTTGCTGAAAACATATCTATTCTATTTATTTTGTCAATATGTATGGATAAGAAAAAACAGTAAACAATTATGGAAAGCACCATTCAATAACAAAATGTGGGTTGTTTGGTACATAAATTAGTAAATGCATTAAACGGAAAAGTCAGACATTTTTGCCATAACCAGAGCACCCGGAGGAAACCTTTGCAGAGACGGGGAGAACATGCAAACTCCACTCAGAAAGGCCCCGTTCACACTAAGATTCAAACCCGAGAGTGCTATAGCCACTTGATGTAGCCCTTTATAACACTCAAGGCAACCAAAGTGCTTTACAATAAAATAAAACACATCAAATTCACTAAAAAAATTAATGTAATCAAACAATAAAAAAGTTAAACAGCATAAAAACGGTGTATGAATTGTGATATACAGATAAACCTTGCCTTGCCTTAAGATAAACATGATGACAATAGTTTCTGTCAGTTTCTCCCCACGGCTGCTTCACCTGCGAGACACGCCTCATCATTACCAATGCAGTCCACATCTGATTCTCCTCATTTCCGCTAATAAAGCGGTCACCGCCGCGGGCTTTGATTGACTTGACGTTCTCTCACGGTTGTGCCACATCTCAACCGCCATGACATCCCCCTAATGCTCCAACGCTGTTTCGAAAAAGAGGGCTGGGAGCTTTTAAAACCCGCTAATGCATAATGCGCTAAACGTTTTAGCCATGCACAGGGTGATCATGAAAACGAGCCCACTGCAGACTGCGAGCTCCCTCTCTCTCTCCGCTCGGCCTTTTGATCCCATCCAGTCTGCATTTTGAAAGCATCTGCCTGCGTAATGAGGACGGGTTTACCATCGCAGATTCAGGAAATGCATTCAAAAGTTAATGGTGTATTTGTCCCCGTGATTAAGAGCCGTGTCTGGTTCTGTATGACACCGCGGATGCCCCCACCGCAATAATGGAGGAAATATCATGAGTTAGAAATCATTCTCTAAATGTGTAGCCTGAGAATTCCAGTATGTGTGTATAGGTTACTATGGGAGTGGTCTCTGGATAATCTTGGTTGTGTTTGTTTTGTAAAAGTATATTTCAGGTGGAGGACAGGGGCCAATAGATTAAGATTGAAATCCTTTATTTGGAGATTTCAGTTTTGCATCACCAGCAGCAGAGGGGCGGCTGCGGGTGTTAATTGCCAAAATGTCGCTGTGTCCTTAGGCAAGACACTTCACACACATTGCCTAGAATGAGTCTGGTGTGTGTGTGTTAATGGCTGGTGGGGGTCAGAGGGGCCGATGGCACATATTTGTTGCCTCGTTTCTGTCTGTGTGCTCCAGGGCAGCTGTGGCACAGGGAGTCACAGAAACAGAACAGAAATATTCAAAATAATGTAAAGTATCAAATCATAAAGACGCTACACAATAATATATACTGCAGAATGAAAAAAAATATCGATTGTAAAAGTGAACTTGGTCCAGATGTCTATACTTTAGAAAATGAATGGACTATATATCATTGTTAAAACACTTACTTGACTCACTTATGTGTCACAAGTGCCCTTTACTGGGAGTTAGAATGCGAGACAAACATGAACAAGGTTGGGAGAAGACTCAGCTGTATTTAATCTAGTGCATCCAAATGAGCCGTGTTTATATGTTTGCATAACTTTTACAGAGAGTTGTGATGTCACAGGTGGTTGTCATCTTGAAATGTTTGCCTCGTTGTAAGTTAAACGAAGCGGAACAAGTGTGGAAGTGATTTCATTTCTGTGCTCCGATATTACAACTTTTTAAATGTCCTATAATGACACGCTCTCGGATGCACTGGACGCGAACCACAAGTGAACCATAAATAATATGAACCATAAATAATCTCAGAATGTGAATGGGAGGCTTCCTGTTATCACATTCTACCTAAGTGCCAAATTTCAGTCCAATCAATCTGTTCATTAGTTCCTGCGCAGGAAAAGAATAAAAGAACATTGCTGATAAAATGGGCGACAGTAGCTCAGTTGGTAGAGCATTGGCCTTAAGGCTAGAAGGTCGTGGGTTCAATTCCCACCTCTGCACCTTCTCCATCGACTCCGACTCGGCTGGTGCTATGAGACTTGGGTGGCATCTCTGACTGCCACCCCCCTGACCCAGAAATGGATTAAAGGGTGGAAAATGGATGGATGCTGATAAATTGGTAATCGACAGAAAATATCCTTTAAAATGTGGGTTCTTTTTTTTTTTTTTGCTTTCAGGTGCACCCCACTATTGATAGACTTCATCTGAATATATTCATTTATATTTAAGACAAGAAGACAAATTTCCCACGTGTAGAAATACTTAACCAATAACATCTAAAAAACTAAAAAAAACTTCCCGGATATGAACATTGGTCAAACCAGGGGCTTGGTAAAATTTGGCACGGTCACTTTTCATCAAGAAGGTCCTTGGTTTGAATCCTGGTCATAAAAGGGTATTTCTGAATGGAGTTTACATGTTCTCCCCATGCCTGCGAAGGTTTCCTCTGGGTGCTCTGGTTTCTCCTACCACTAAAAATGTGTACAATAGTTAAAATCCTCCTGACCAAGCTGAGCATCTACAACTGGAGATGGGTTCCCGGGCCCTGTTACTACGGCAACCACTGCTCCTGATGGAAGCCTTAGCGGCATCAGGATGGGTCAAATGAATTGCCCTACAGGGATTGATGAAGTGCTCTTCCTTTACCTTAATAATTTAATGTTAAAATTACTGGGGCGACAGTGGCTCAGTTGGTAGAGCAATGGCCTTTGAAGCCGAAGGTCATGGGTTTGAGCTCAATTCAACCTTCTCCACCAACTCCACTGATGTCTGTTGTCATTGTGTCCTTGAGCAAGACACTTAACCCACTTTGCCAATGAGGAGTGTGGAAGTGATGTTCACTGCTTGCCTTGATCAATCAATCAATCAAAGTTTATTTGTAGAGCGCCTTTCATGCACAGGGCAACACAAAGCGCTTCACAGTCCACATCACAAATCATCACATAAAACAAACACCAGAATCACAATTAAAACATTAAAATCACACAAAAGATTAAAACACAATTAAAACATTAAAATCACACAAAAGAATAAAACCATTAAAACTTTCAAAATTACACAAGAAATTTAAAAAAATAAATAAATGACAGCAGTGCATTAGAAATGGAGATAAAATCCTTCAGTTGTATGCACAGGCAAACAGAACAGTCTTTAACCTGGATTTGAACATTGACAGAGTAGACGCCTCCCTCACATTTTCAGGGAGATTGTTCCAGATCTTAGCTGCATGGATCTGAAACGCAGCCTCCCCATGTTTGGTTCTCACTCTGGGCACCAGCAGGAGGCCAGTCCCTGTGCTCCTCAGAGTCCGGGCCGGTTCATATGACACCAACATGTCACTAATGTATTCTGGTGCAAGGCCATGGAGAGACTTGTACACAAGCAGAGCTGTTTTAAAATCTATTCTTTGAGCCACAGGAAGCCAGTGCAGAGACCTGAGGACCGGACTAATATGGTCATACTTCCTGGTTCCTGTCAGGACTCTAGCTGCTGCATTTTGGATGTACTGCAGCTGCTTACAGGTCTGTTTGGACAGACCTGTAAGCAGGCCATTGCAGTAGTCTAGCCTGCTGGAGACAAATGCATGGACAAGAATCTCCAAGTCTGCCCTGGACACTATATTTCTAACTTTGGCAATGTTCTTCAGATGGTAAAAAGCTGTTGATGTTATTGATTTGATGTGGCTATTGAAATTTAGGTCTGAGTCCAGTATTACCCCCAAATTTCTGACCTTGTCTGAAGGAAGTAGGGAGAGAGACTGAAGTTGACAAATGACGCCCTCTCTTTGTTTCTGGGGACCAAAGACAATGATTTTGGTTTTGTCTGCATTTAGCTGGAGGAAATTATTTTGCATCCAGTCACCGATCTGTTGGATACAGTGAAGGAGCAAATCCAGTGGTCCATGTTCTCCTGCAGTCAGTGAGACATAGATCTGAGTGTCGTCGGCGTAATTGTGGTAGGACACTTTGTTTCTTTGTATTAACTGACCTAACGGCAGCATGTAGAGATTAAATAGGAGAGGTCCCAGGATCGACCCCTGTGGTACTCCACAGGTCAGGGCCACATGATCTGAGACGCAGTCTCCAATCTCCACAAAGTACTTCCTATCCTCCAGGTAAGACCTAAACCAGTCTAGGGCTGTGCCAGTGACACCAACCCAGTCCTCCAGTCTCTGCATGAGGATCTCATGGTCGACAGTGTCGAACGCGGCACTAAGATCTAACATGACCAAAACTGTGACTTTACCTGCATCAGTGTGAAGTCGAATGTCGTTTGTTACCTTCACTAGAGCGGTCTCAGTGCTGTGGTGGGGTCTAAACCCAGACTGGAACATATCAAAAGAATTATTCATTGTTAAAAATTCAGTAAGTTGTTGGGAGGCCACTTTTTCAAGAATTTTTCCAATGAATGGCAGATTCGATATGGGGCGATAATTTTGAAGTCCCGCAGGATCCAGACTGCTCTTTTTCAGGAGAGGTCTTATGACTGCTGTTTTTAGGGCCATAGGAAATGTTCCTGACGACAGAGACATGTTTACTATTTGTGTCAGTGAGGGTAACAAACTGCTCAGGACGGACTTCAGAAATTTAGAGGGCAATATATCCAGGCCACATGTGGAGGAGCTCAGACTCATGATTATCTTTTTGACGGTTTCAGTATCCACAGGTGCAAAGTGAGTTAGCTCAAAAAGCTTCTCTGGCTGTTGCATTGTTATACGTGCTGTGGAGGTGATAGTGTTTTTGATTCCTTGTACTTTGTCATCGAAAAACTGTGCGAACTCATTACACCTAGATTTAGAGGAAAATTCTAGGGGCAACTTTACAGGGGGGTTCGTTAATCTACCAACTGTTGAAAACATAACACGAAAATTGTTACTGCAACCTCCAATAATGTCAGAAAAATACATTTCTCTTGTTCTACGTAGAACCCGGTTAAATTCACCCAACTCATCTTTAAAGATTTCATAATCGCCCTGGAAATTGGACTTTCGCCACTTCCGTTCGGCCCTCCGGCACTCTTGCTTCTGTGCCCTGACCGAGTCTGCCTTAGTCCATGGGGCCTTTTTCTTACTGGTAACTATTTCAACCGTCACAGGAGCAATGGCGTCCAGAACAGTCAGAACACTGGTGGTGACAGAGTTATACAATTCATCAACAGTAGAGCATGGAGTTTTCTCAAAATTTTGCTTTCCCATGAACAGTTCACTTGTGTTTTCATGTATGTGTCTTCTTCTAACAATTGTAAATTCAGCTGGTGGTTTGCTAGCAAAACACATGTCAAAAAATACACAGAAATGATCTGACAAAGCAACATCAACTACATTAACATTTGATACAATAACCCCCTTTGTAATTAGCAGGTCAAGAGTGTGCCCCCTGCTGTGGGTGGGGCCACTCACATGCTGAATGAAACCAAAGGTCTCAAATACAGAAGCCAGCTCCTTTGCATTTCTGTCATCAACATTATCAACATGTACATTAAAATCACCTGTAATAACTAAACTATCAAAATCTGTGCACACGAATGAAAGTAGTTCAGTAAAATGGTCAATAAAATCGCAACATGAC